GAGATACCCTGAAGATAGGAGATACATGCTATAAAATAGCTCCATAATGCTATTAGATATATATTTTCAACTTGATTAGGCTTTTCAGTTTTAATTTTTCTATTCTTAGGACAACCATTGATAAATTAATGAAATTAATTGTCCGATCATTATGAAATCTTATAGGATCGAACTGTGTGTTAATACGATGTCCTAAGATTATTCTTCCAAATATGGCTTTATGAAAGTGAAGGAGGAAAAGGGGCTTAGTTAAAATGTGAATTATTCTACATACTCTGTCATATGGTAAAAAAAAACTGGATGTTATCGGATGTTATCGATGATTTAAAATAAATCTAGCTCTTATAGTCTCTGAGATCACACTCACATATGGTATATACGAAAAGACTGGCGAAAGGACTGACAGGCAGAGAGACATTGCTGTGTGGTTGGATAACCCTCCTTCTGCCACATCTATGTGTTTGTACGCAACCACTATTCCAATTTTAAATGGGTTCAGCGTGTGCTCGCACTGGAAGAAGTGAGAAGAACGCGCGACTATTATGAACATTTGCATACTCTGTATTCATATAGAAATGATACTGCTCGGTTCCGCTTAAGAACTTAATTGCCAATATACATACGTATGTATATTTGTAAAAGTCCATACTCCTTTCACAGGCAGTCTTTAAGCCGTTGCGCTTTTCATAAACTGAGCCCGCACCCCTTCCACCTCGTGCCTCATGCCTTGCCGTGCCTGTGCCCAATTGAGTTGTGGAGCGTACCGTGTCTGTTGACTTTGTTCCCTATCAACAAGTCGCCACTTAATTCAATTACATTAGATACGACGAGCAAGGCAAAGGATGAGACGAGACCTTATATCTGAGGGGAGCCATCCAAGCAGCTCTGTATTCATTGGGATGGGAACTGCGATAGGCCAAGCATAGAATCTGCGGTTAAATGACAGCTGAGCACTACTGTGGTATTCATTCCGTGAATACAACGCACAAGGCACTTAATAGCCGCCGGCACTTTAATTTAGATTTTTCGCCTCAAATTAAATTTTTAATGTGGTTTTGTCTTGAATCTGTTTGGCGAAACAGAGGTTTAATACTTTTAACAGAAGCAATAAGACCCCCAAACAAATTAAAAGCGTTGCTAAAGGTCAATCGTTAAATGAGTTTCCTAAATGCTGAGAAATTGCCAAAGGCAATCACTCCCATCAGCAGCAATTGCTATATATGAAAATGAATTTGTTCAGCTGACAGATTCCAGAGTTCGCAAATCAATACGTTTCAAATATATGTACATCAATTTGTAGGCATGAAACATGTATTGTGATTTTATATATTTCTACTAGCAGGTATTCCCAGCCTTCGCCGTGGAGATTCTTCTGCTTAAAATGTTAGATTAAACCTTTTCACCCGTTCGCCTCGTGAAAATAGAATTGTACCCATTCTATCCCAATCTCCATAGTCCATAATTATATTTTACATAGATATTTGAAAAAAGGATAAATCTCCATTGAATAAAGAACAAAAAGTTGGAATCGACAACGCTTTCCGTCTATGTTAGTCTTGAGTTGAGAATCTTGAATCCGAAATATTCGTTTCCTGAGCCGTTGATACGGATCCTTAAACAGTGGAAACGGCGAGAAACGTATAAAATCAATTTATAAAGAATAATTAAAAATAAGTTAGAAGCCAATCAAATAGTTATTAATACTGTTGCAAGATTTCGAAATCATTGAAACACGTATGTACTAAGTTCTTATGTAGGACTTTGAAAATAAGTAAATATAATACGTTCCTTTAAAGGGCTTTGAAAAAGGTTTGAAGCCGATCGGATAAAACTTAAAACTTCACCCTTAAATACGTTGATCCTTATTTTCCACGAACGAGGCTGGGATTCGCCGATATGTGTAAAAATGTCTCAAATATTTTTTTCATAAAAGTCTTACGCTCCAATTCTTTGAGCGAAAATCTCAGTTTTCTGGTGCATATAGTTTGGGCTATGTGTTGATAAGTAATCAGTCAGTCAGGAGAAACAGTTTTATATTGATAAATGTGGGCTAAAATGCCAGGGTTGATGGAATAAATATTTCTCAGTATAAAACAGACATTGTCCTGCTTAAATGACTGCTAATCAGCTAACTGCTATAAACCTCAATTACCTTAAACAAAAAAACAATGGGGTCAAAAATGTAGGGATTTAAACCAATTGTGCGCATATATATAAGACTTTAGATAGGGTATTCCAATTGTTATGGATATTTGAATAGATATCTACTGAGTTATCCTTAATTTTTATTACTATGAACTGAACCAGTTTTACAAAATTATAAGTCAGCCTAATCCCAAACCGAACCATATTTTTCAATATGCTGCCTTTGTATGTATGTAAATATATACATAAAAATATTACTGAAATTAATTTTTTACAATTGTAATAGTAGGTTTGCCTGTCAACATTCCACATGTTTCCTACTTGCTTCCAATATCGAAACAAGTAAGACAGCCCTAGTCGGGTGTGCCCGACTAGAAGATACCCAGATCAGACTATCAACACCAGAAGCTCAAGCTTAGAGAAACACTTTTCACCTACTTAACGGGTTGAGGTATATAGCTTTCATTGCATTGATCATATTGTTTTTCAATGAGTTTCCTCTGTTCTCCTAATCCCTCCCAGCTATAATATCAAATTACTGCAACTATATAAAAAAACCCATCACAGGGTACCACTCACCCTTAATTACTACTGATCATGAATATATGTGTGCATATATATTTGGAACTTTGCATTAGCTACCTGGCTTGCCATCGTTTTCTTTAATATCTTCTGTATTTCTTAACCGACATTGATAATCTGGGGTAGATCTTAGTGTCCCATGGAAATTGGTGGGTCGGTATGTTGTGTAGATATATATATATACTATTGAGAAAGTACATTTGGTGAATTTAGCTCTTATAACATTACGAGATTTGCTTAAAAAACAGGTTTTCTTTATCGACTTTTATCGATTGCTTGGAAACGGGGCAAGTTATCGATTATCAGAAACAAACTCGTACTGCGCGGGCAATTAGAGGACCAAAGTCTCTAGCTCTTTCAGGTTCTGAGATGCTTGGGCATACATACGGACGGACAGAGGAACAGACATGGCGAGATCGACTTGGCTATTGATGCTGATCAAGTATGTATTATACCTCGTCAGAAGATACCATGTAGCCTGCGCCAATATCAGTATGCAACAGAATTAAATTTTTGTAGCCGCGGTTGATGAAAAGATTTAAGATTTAAGATTTACCATACGATATTCGTAAATTAACATTTTTGTTATTATTATTATTGATAAGAAAAATTTTTTCGCCAAATGTAGACTTTTAAAATTAATACCAATTCCGGAAAAAAAATGTATTTTTTTAGTTTCAATATTTTTTTATAAAAATATATATATATATTCTGCAAAAAATATTTAAAATTTATTAGATAAATAGAAGCACGTCGCGAGTTCATCCTTTTTTACAGTGTCTGTGTAACTTGTAAGCCAACAGCATTGGGAATGAATAATCAGTGACATTCCAATGAAAGTATATATCACAGTAAACTGAGTTCTTAGTACAAAATTTATAAGCTGCCCTTATAACCGACACAGATAAAAAATCATAATTATAGTAAATAGTTCTACTTGTAAACTATGAGTTTCAAATTCTTTTTATACCTTATATCTTCTTATACCCTTTTTAAATGTCCGTCTCTATTAGTATGTCGATCCTGGAAACTTTAAGAGCTACAGGTTTGCAATTTGACAAGCATATAGAAATAGCTACTCATTTTTAGTCGATATCTCGTAACATTTGCAAAATATCGGGAAAAGACTTAATTTTATGAAAGACTCTGATATTTGAAGAATTCGAAGCCAAATTATTAAATTGAATGAGAGGTTTACGGGAGATTTTGTAATCGAGCACACTCGACTAGAAGCTTTTTACACCTTTTTATAAGGCACTGGCCACTACGATCTTCGAGTAAAACAATACTACATCCATACACTCGCTATTTAGATTCCCACTTGATTAAGTCGCTTAGACAACTGATCTGCCAAGGACTGTAAGCACATAATATAAAAGTCCGATGCTAATGTTATTCTTTATACAAAAGTTCTGCTTTCGAGTAGATCGCTGTATAATAAATTGGTTCAAATTCGAGCGAGTGTAATTGCAGAGACAGACAGACTGACATTGCTATATGGAATCGGTTGTAGACACTGGCGAAGAAGGTTCAAATGTACTTTATAGAGTCGAGGATGTCGCCTTCAATGAGTTAGATATCTCTTGACAAAAGACGCTTTTTAGGGGCATACTAAAATGGATAATTCATTAGAATATTAATAATAAAACTAATCATAATAATAATAACAATAAGAGTTAAGTAGCTGGCAATTTCAATATAGGAAATTAACTTAAAACTTAACTTACATTAAAAATAAGATTGCAATTTCGTACTTAAGCCTTTGGTATTTCGAAAATATGTATACGTATTTTATTATAAAGTTTTTATTTTCTTGTTCAAAATCAGCAAATTAGTCATGAAGGATCGTCAGAGTCCGAATATTTTGCCGATCGACTTGTTAAACTATTGTTTAAACAACTTTTTTGTCCTTCAAGATGTCATAATCAAACTTAACACATACGAGATCTCTCTTGCTCTCTTAGAATTTTGTCAACATCGGACTACTATGTCATACAGCTCCATAAGAATAATTGGTTGTTTGGAAAACTTTTCAAAAATCAAGATATCTTAACCGAACTCAGCAACTGCGATATACACAATCCTCCTCGGAAATCTGCGAGGCCGTAAGACCATGTCTACAAGAGAATTATATCTTTGGCACATCAGAGATGCTTTTTCACTAACTTGTTTTAATGTGCATTCGGTGAATACGTTTGCACTTAAGGCATTAAGAAAAATTTAACAGAAAAAAAAAGAGAAAAAAGAAAAGCAATGTATAATTATATGCTTACAGTAATAGAAATGGAGAGAAATGCATTCAGTTTCATTCAGTATTTGCCGTTTCCTTTTTGTTTGTATTGCATTTCTGTCCATGGTGTGAAAAACAGCAGCGATTTCGGAATGCTCGTGTCGCGATTGCTCTTCAAGTCCTGCACTAGTTAAACTCTTAACAAAATGAATATTTTATGCATGTTTGCATTGCACAAATGATCGGGCGATTTTCAAACATGAATACATTCATACTAGTTACTAACGTACTAAGCTGTCGATTAATATATTAATATAATGCTTCGACGACATCTATTTGTTGTGGTTAAGAATTTGCCAGCTAGCTCACTTTTATGAATTAAAATACATAGTTTGAGTCTATGATATCTTAATTATCACCAGCCTGATTTCTACATATATGCACTCATATGTATGCACGCTTTTAAGCCAATTATAAACGCAACGACGGGAATGCACGTCTTGGGTACGAGCCTCGAATGCGTTGCCGCCGACTATTTGTATTTAATTGAACTTAAACTCGACCGTCCCGCGACAAGCTCTGATTGAAACTGAGCAAAGTCGGCTAGTGATAAGCTGTACGTACCGTGTGATGCTTAAGTCCCGTACATCGGGCAGGCTCGGCTGTATCCCGAAGCGGACGCTTGCCCCTTCAATGGGCGGGGAGTGTGTATGCTGCGCTCCCATTGGCGTCAACATGGCAGGGGTTGGAGAGACAGTACCGTAACCATTCCTATTTACTCAGAGAGAAGTTAAGAGAGAGCAAGACAGATTCCACCACGTGTTGATGTGGACTTTAAATCCTTTTCAGCTGGTATTTCCCGGCCTTACCCAGTCCAAATTTTTTACTTTTAATTCTAGACATCAATTTTCAAATCTGCGCGCACAATTTTGAAATCAGAAAGTTAAAATATAATTTACATACAGATTTACAACGCTATTTGAATGTGAGTTTGATATCCATCCGATTCAGAAACAAAAGTAAGAATCAACTTTTTGCGCCCATTATAGTCGTGTAGTGTAGAGTTTAAAATTGAAACTCATATCTCATTCATACAGCCATTTTTAACGCATTTTCCACCGAGGGGTGGAATTTGCGAACAATGTAAAGCACGTCTCAAATGAGTTTCAGAAAAGATCATAAACTAGAACGATAAAAAGAAAATAATCTTCCTAGCTGGTATCGTTTTATTTATAATAGAGATATTGTCAACAATTTTATAAAAAATTACCCGTTATTTGTAATATTTGGCGAAATTATCTGCATAATCTGTTTCCTCATTTCTAACACTTTCTAACAAATGCTACAGAATTGCATTTTGAAATATATATTCTCCTATAAATACACAAAGTTGTACATACATAGACTATGAATATTTCACTTTTTTTGGTACCACCCCATTCCCTTTTGAATTACTTGTTTTTAAAGCTAGATTACTTGAGCTCTGAAAATTTTATTTTATTTATTTTAAATTTGAATGAACGAATCTCGAATTATTTCAATTGATAAGTAAATTCAGATAATCCAGTCCAAAGCTGACTAGCTATATGTATATCAGCCCACCTCTTTTATTACAGTAAATTCAAAACATTTTCTCCACCACATTTTAGATAACATCCGCAGGTTTGATGCTTGGCGTGGGCCCATTATCAGAGCTTAAATCCATATTACGACTGACCGCCAGCAAACCAATATGCGCGATACCATTCGGGAAAGGTGACCTACCGGAACAAAATGTTACCCGTAATTGTAATGAGATTCATTATTTACCACTCAAAAATATGACAAACGCTCAGGTAAGATCAACACAGGAGCTTGCACTTGTTGGCAAGGAGTAAAATTGAATTGAAAACCTTCAAATGATTCTCTATCTGAAAGGCGTGCAGCACTTCAGCAATTATTATGAATAAATCGCCTGTTCTAATGGAATTATCATCTTTATGCGAGATCGCTTGATAATCGTATTTCACCCGCTAGGCTTCCCAGTAAGATGGAACATATCGCTGCCACTGCAACGGGGTCTTGATGACCGCATGAGCCACCTTGTAAACTCTAAACCACAAAAATTGACCCACAAAAATGCTGCCGTGCTATCAAAGGTTTTTACCATAACATAATTCTCAACATTAAACATATTCCTTATAATATGGTATTTCATTTTGCGCTAATCCAAACAACATTGTACTAGGAAACTTTTTGTTGGCACAATTCTGAGTGTCTAAAAATGTCAAAGTTAATGTACTTTTAAGCAAAATTATATTACAAAACTTTGTAACTCTAAATATAACTATAAAGAATTCACATGTATACGCAACTCTTTCTATTATTTAATATATAATATCCCAATATTCCATTCCACTTGCCCATTTGCTTGTGTTTCACATCTTTTTTAATTATTTATCGAAAATAATCTTTTAATTAGTTTTTAACCTCCCTGCTTTTTTTTGTGTTTGTTGTAGACAGTCACACAAATATTTTAAAATGATCTATTACTACAAATAAATACTTCTTTGCCCTGCTATTATCTAATGGGCCGTAATGATCAAAGTGGAATAAGTCAAATGGTTTGTTACCCTTAGGCATACTGTCTAATATTCCACCCTCCTTTCCTGTCTTAGGTGAGTATGATATACATTTTAAGCAGTTTTCAATAAGACTTATAACTTTTTCTTTCATAATAGGAAACTAGTATGATTTCCCGATGGCATCTAACATTTTGTTTGTCGTGGTATTTATAAATAACTTGGTCCTAAAATTGTTCAGGTAAATAAATTAAAATTTATTTATTCCATTCTCCAACAATTTAAGCTCTCTTTCTCTAAGAATTTCATCTCTTCTTGTTCTTCTTTACCTTTAGTCAGACAAATTATTCGGTTCGTTTCAAAACTATTCGCATCTGTTTTCATGATCGTATTTTAACTATTGATAAGGCATCCACATCGTGCATTTGCTTATAATAATCATAATCAAATTCTTGCAGCTCTAACGTCCACCTCGTAATTTTCGGGTTAGGCTGTAACTTGCTTAGTGTGAAAGTCATAGAGTTCCATTCTGTAAATATATCCTCTATCTACGCAGTGAATGTAACATATACTATAATTGCCAACGTCTTCAACTCAAAACTGTGATATTTCGCTTCCGCTTCCGTTTTACGCTTAGAAAAATAGAATTCGGGTCTTCTATATAGTCATAAATTGATAATTTAGGCGCTTTTAACAATTTTTCTTTCAACAATTTAGCTCATTTCCTTTAAATTCTATCTTTAACTCTATCTTTTTTTAGTAAGTCACGCATTGGTTATCAAGAAAGAATAATAAGTTCGTTTAACGTATGATAGAGGGGAATATAACATATATATATTTTACGTTTCAAGTCCCTAGCTTTTGTAGTTTCCGAGATCGAAATATTCATACAGACGGACATGTCTTAATCGAGTATACTTTTCATCCTGATGTAGAATATATACATGGCATGGGATCGGACAGGCTGTTTGTTACACACATTTGCACAAACCAATATTATCCTTTTTACCCATTTTCTATGGGTAAATTGTATAAAAACATAATTCCTGCAAATAATACAAAAATAAAAACCTAAATAAATAAGTTCAGTAAATATTTCACATTTTTGAAATTCTTCTCTGAACAAAGTCCCTGAAATTATTTTATTTAACTTTTTCAAGGTCCCCTTGGCTTATTTATTACAGCGATGGCTATGAATTTGCCACAGATTTTAATTCGTACATATGTAAATATATATGAGTATGCTACAGACACACGCGTTTACGGGGTGTGTGGTCAGTACCCAAGAAACGGCTTGAATATGGGCTTATTGCCTTTTTCGAGGGTGAAATTTTTCACCCAAATACAAAGCATTTAACAGTCCTCTCACCTTAGGACCTCGAATAGGAATACCTGGGAAATGTCCTCACAGACATTTGACTACTTCTATATATAAAACAGTTTGTCCTGACTGATTGAATGGCTGAAATCGTAAAGTTTAGTCAAAGCCACAGTTTCGAAAAAATTCGAACAGCCAGTGTGAGAAGATGGGGTCAAAGTTTGTATGAAAAACATCAAAAATGAAAGCAACCAACCATACAATTGTGTTTTGTAAACGTAATTTCATGTAGTATGGCATGCAGGATTCTGATCTTCAGAGAGACAAGCGAGAATTTTTCACCTCTCATCCAGCAAAAAAAGCCAAGTTTTTTATTCGGTCATTAAATTTAATTGTTTATTTAATTTTATATTATTGTATATATATTCGGACCCACAACCGACCGAACTTCTTGCCTCCGCCTAAACTCCATTTTCCGAATAGAGTGAATCCTCCCTTCAATGAATTTAAACAAAGAGATATGGAAATAAGTTTGAAGCCGATGGATTGTAAACAGAAAAATTTAATACAACCCTTTTTCACGATTTTTCCACACTTATGGAATTTTCCAAAATCGCGTCATAGGGTGCACCTCCATCAAATAAGGTGGCTATAGTAAAAATTCGTAGCTTTCGAACTTTAACGATTTATGCTGTATGCTGATCACCAATCTGCCAGTTCGTACAATCGGTATTTTTTCTATGGCAAAATATTATCAAACTTAGGATTAACGAGCTGCACATAACTCTCAAATATCTGCAATTCCTTAAAGCAAATTTCTGCAAAAGTCTTCGGCGCGCCGATGCAATAATAGATATAATAATAAAACTTTAAGGTTCAAATTGTCACCACTACCACTACCAATTTATGAAACTTAAAAAAAATATTATAAAACGAAACGTTAAAGAGTAATTTCAAAATTTATCTAATAGGTGTTTCACACTGTTCGTAAAAAAGGAGGGAAAATGTTGAATGAAGATTCTAAACAAGAGACTAAAATGGGTCCTTTATTTGATGGACTACAATACCGTTTTCAAATATCTTTGTGAAATGTAACTAAAGACACACAGTTCAATATTACAAGAGCAATGAGCGATGTGTAAAAAATGTAGACCGTGCATGGCCGGGAAATACCCTCGCGAATTTTAACCTATCCTGATGCAACTTTGCGTAGGTCGGCAGTACATATGTATGTCGGATCATAAAGCTGCTGTAGGAATGATAAGTCAGCAATTTTGTTACATTTAAGGTAAATCTTATCAGCACTGAAGTGCTTAAATACAAAGCTGTGAAATGAATCAGTCAAAAAATTAATTAATTCACAATTCTCCTCACATATCTGCAAAGCCGTAAGCCATACGTCAACAAGGGTAATAATCTTCGACGCTTGGAAGAAAGCTGATATAAAGCTTAGATTATGAACACCGAATTTATTCAAAAATGCACATTCCATTTTCTTGAATACACGAGTAAATCTGAAGATAGCGTTAATTCTTCAATAGAGTAAAAAATTTGCCTTCAGTACAATATACGGAAGGACAGCAAGGCACGCATTGCTCAAAACCAATATACCCGCTTCATGTTGTATGAGTAGAGAGTAATTGAACAAAAAATATGCATGCAAAGTATCAGCAGCATC